CAATCACCTCATATGCATGTGAAAGCTGGACAGTGAATAAGGAAGATCGTAGAAGAATTGATGCTTTTGAGTTATAATGTTGGAGGAGAATATTGAAAGTGTCTTGGGCTGCCAAAAGAACAAACAGATCCATTCTGGAAGAAGTGCAGCCAGAGTGCTCCTTGGAGGCCAAGATGGCCAAACTTCGTCTCTCGTACTTCAGACATATTGTCAGGAGGGACCAGTCGCTGGAGAAGGAGATCATGTTTTGTAAGGTGGAGGGTCAGAGAAAATGAGGAAGACCCCCAGCGAGATGGATTGGCCCAGTGGCAGCATCAGTGGACTCAAGCGTTGCAATAGTAGTGAGGTTGGCCCAGGATCAGGTAGTGTTTCGTTCTGCTGTGCATAAGGTTGCTATGAATCGGTACCTACTTGATGGCACCTAACAACAACAACAACAACATCCTAAGGAAATAATTCAAATTACGGAAAGATATATGTACAAAAATTTTCATCTTAGTGTTAATTTATAATTGTGAATAATTGGAAACTATTAAGTACCATGAATAGGGAATTGACATAAATTATGATTCGTTAATTCAATAGAGTACCATTTGACTGTTAAAAATCACATTTCTGTGGGGATTTTACTGACATCAATGAGTTTTTTATTAAGAAAAGAAGTATTTATTTATTGACCACTTACCCCTACTATGAAAGGGATTCTGTTCTTACCCCCACCTTTTAAATGAGGAAACTAAGACTAAAGAGGAGCCAAGTATTATATTACATCATCAATTCTAAGGCCCCATCTTTTCATATTTACACATTTTAGCCCTGAAAGAAAAATGACTTTCAGCATTGTGGCATCTTAGAAACCCTGAAGCTTGTTGCCTCTGCAAAGACCTTCCGGTAAGAGGCAGGCAGAGATATGAATCTTATGTGAGCATCCCACTCATTCACAGCATGGCTCTGGGTCTACTGCGTATACAAATATGTAAATAAACCCACAGGAAGAAATTTCTGCAAAGTCTTGGAAATGGTTACTTCCGGACAGTAGAACCACTCCTTGTCGGTCAGTTTGCCGTACTGTGGTGCTGCGATGCTGGAAGCTGTCCCACAGGTATTTTAAATACCACTGGGGTCACCCAAGACGGACAGATCTCAGCAGAGCTTCCAGACTAAGACAGACTAGGAAGAAGTAGAGGTAGACCACTTCTGAATGGTTAGCCACTGAAAACCTTATGAACAGCAGTGGAGCATTGTCCGATACAGTGCTGGAAAATGAGCCCCTCAGGCTGGAAGATACTCCCAACATGACAAAACTGCCTCCTCAAAAGTAAAGTTGACCTAATTACATGGGTGGAGCAAAGCTTTTGGGACCTTCATTTGCTGATGGGAGCAACTCAAAATGAGAAGAAACAGCTGCAAACATCCATTAGTAATCGCAACATGGAATGCACAGAACTTTGAGGAATTGTCGATTTCTCTAGGCCTCTTAGATTCTCTGGGTTTCCCACCATGAGCAGGTGTGGTTGATGCTTGGGGCCATGAGAAGCTTCAGGACTTGATCGGCAGCACCTGATCACTGAGCTGGGTCTGTGGCCTGCCTAGCTATGTTAGCGTTCACAACCCTCTTGATCAATGACATCATCCTGGTTCCTGGACCAGGTCTGACCTCTGCCCCTTCTCCTCCTTGCAGGTACCTCTACAACCGCATGGGCTACTGGAGCGATTGGTCTGTGCCCATCCTCGTGACCACAGCTGCTGCCTTCGCTTACATCACAGGCCTGGTGGTACGTGGGGGCTGTCCAGTGGGGCAGGTTGCCCTGCTCCCAGATGGGAGGTTGGCTTTCCCCAGGGCCCCTTGTGCTGTGGTAGCTCTGAGGTTTCGGTCTTCCGATGTGGGAGGCCTTCTTGCTTTGTCAAGCTTCCTTGGCTGTCCTTTCTAGGCATGTTCTCTTGCCTGGTGAGAGCCATCCCAGCTATTGGGGCCCACTGCAGCTGTCCCTCTTCTGGGAAGCTCTGAGTTGGGTGCCTGCTCCCAATACTCTGCCCATTCAGACCCAAATCAGTCCCCCTGATGGACTGGGGCTCCTCGGGATGAGGCTCAAGTCTGTTCCAGAATGCTGGAACTCACGAAGCATTTGGTGGATTAAGTTGGAGCATGCAAGTGCAGCAGGCCCTGTGGTTCCCTTGAAAAGAAATCCCAGAGAAAGGGAACCCAGGAACCTGAAAGACACTGGGAGAAAGCTAGGCTGAGCAGGGCAAGGCTGGGAATTCCCATCACCTGTTATTGTTGTTGATAAGTGCTGTCACACGTAGGTTCCAACTCATAGCTACCCTGAATAGCGACCTTGTGACTAGCATTCCAGTGCTTGTCCTATACTACCACCCCATCGTCTGTGGGGAGGGCTTACTGACTCTGGGCTCAGAGTCAGGCAGTGGGGCATGGGCGTCTGGGGATCCTGGTTAGCGGTGGGTGCCCTCTGGTCCCACGTGGAATCTGTCTCCCTTGGGTTCCCTCCTCAGATCCTGGCACTATGTCACATCACCGTGGGCCAGCAGATGAACCTGCACTGGCTTCACAAGGTAAGGGCTACCTCCACCTGGGTTGGGAGGGGACAAGGGAGGCTGCAGTGGCCGAGGAAGAGCCTGAACACACCACCCCTCCCCTGGATCATAATTACAGTTGGTCTCATTGCTAACCCTGAGCAGTCACTATAAGCCAAGCACTGAGCTCACATGTGGGTCTTTACTGACTCATTTCACCCTCTTGGCAACCTTCTGATACAGGTACCGTCATTATCCCATTTTGCAGCTGGGAAAACAGAGGTACAAAGAGCTTAAGTCACTTGTCCAAGGTCTTCCATTTGCTAAGTGGAGGGTCCTGAATTAAATCCCTGTAACTGAGCTATCAGACAGGCCCTCTGGCTGGCTGTCCCTGACTTCTACTCCCTTCTTCAGTTCTTTCTAAAACCCTGATCCCTCCCTACCTAAAGCCCATTCATGCCTCCCATTGCTCCCTGAGTGATCCAGACCTTGCATGACCTGGGCTTGTGGGACAATTGCCCTCAGCTTCTGCTACAGGAAACACTTCTGACCATAGCCTTTCTTCCTCTTCTTTGCTTTCAGCAGATTGCTTGCCCTCCCTTTCTCTCCCTCCCCCCAGAATCCCTACAGACTGCCCTGCCACATTCCTGAGCATCTGCACTGAGGTTTTCATCTATGGACCCTGCCCCTCCCTCAGTCCACCCTTCCTAGTCTGGGAGTTCCTTGGATGCCAGAAGCAGCTCTACCCACCTCTGTGTCCCCAGTCCCCAGGACTAGGAGAGGTGGGCTTCGTATATTATGGAGTCCCATTCTCACTCCCCCTACAGTGTGTGTGGTGTGGGATGCCTGTTCTGGTGCCTTCTCCTTTGAGGCCCCAGTGGGCACAGGGCCCATGAGCAGTTACGGAAGAGCTAGCTGGGTCAGCGCTCCTCTCCCAGAGCGTGGCTCAGCCCTGCATGCTGTTTAGGAAATGATCCTGTCAGATGGATCCAGGTGGGTAAGGCCAACTTCCCAGTGGAACAGGACCAGGAAGAGGGAAGTTGTGTGAGCTCAGGTTGGCCTTTGTGGAGGGTGAGGTGCCTGTGGGCATCCACAAGCTTGTCCAAGCTCAGCTGGAGCTCAAAGACAGACCTGGAGCCAGTCAGGGGTCATCAGCACACCAATGGTGACTGGCATCTTAAAGATGCAAAGAGCAACATGAAACCCCTGGTCCTCAGCGCTTTCCTCTTGCCTGTCACACTATCCTGAGGCCTCCCTTGAAATTCCACAGTCCCATCTGGAAAGCACTTTCCCGCTGGCTGCAAAGCAGACACATGCAAGAACTATACAGCTGGCACCCCAGGTTGGGCTGGAAACGCTGTGAGCACCTCCTCTGGGCTGTGCCCAGTTCTTAGCGGGTCAGCTCCCATCTGCTTGATCCCAGTGGAGAGCTGGGGGAGCTGGGCAGATCAATGCTAGGTCTTCTTCTGGGGGCGGGCAGATTGGAGCCCTTCATCACTGCTGGTACCAGCTTCTCAAGCACCAGGCTGCCTTCCTCTCAGCTCTGGTCCTCTTGTGAGAGCCCAGCATGTGAAGCCTTAGCTAGACCTGCTGCCCCTGGAGGGAGGGGGGCCCTGTGCTCAGAGTCCTCAAGCCAAGGCTGAATAACATCCCATTGTATGACTCCAGCTCATCTTGTTGATCCATTCATCTGTTGATAGATGCCTGGTTGTCTCTACCTTTTGGCTATTGTGAACAGGGCTGCAATAAACACTAGGATCCTTGTCTCTGTCAAAGTCCCTGTTTTCATATGATAATTCTATGTGTAATTTTCTCCCCAACCTCCTACCTGTTTTCCACAGTGGCTGTATCCATTTACGTTCTCACCAGCACTGCTGGAGGGTCACAGCTCTCCACAGTCTCCCTTAGGTCTTTGATACTAGCCAGCTTCATGAATTTTTGACCTTGCAACACATTGACATGACCCAAAATGCAGAAAGCAGAAGACACTACACAGTGAGAGTCTTGGCCTCAAGTCCCTTTTTACAGAGACATCTTTTGTGCCTTTCAGAGCACATATGCAAAGATATGCATCTATAAAACAACCCCAAAAACCCATTGCTATTGAGTAAGTTCTAACTCCTAGCTACTTTATAGGACAGAGGAGAATTGCTCCATAAGGTTTTCCAAAGATGTAAGTTTTTATGGAAATAGACGGCCACATTTTTCTCCTGCAGAGCTGCTGGTGGGTTCAAACCACCAGCAGCCTTTTGGTTTGCAGTGGAATGCTTAACCAGCGTGTATTTCCTGTCCTCCTTTTTCTTTACCCACAAGTGGTAACTTACTATCCATTCTATTCTGCACCTTAACAAGATTCTGTGAGCTCCTTTAGTTCCAGTACCTGAAGAGCTTCCCCATTCACACAGGTGTCTGGGGGTTCCTTACAGATTCACTCTGTTGATGGGCCTAGTGGACATCCCAGTGGTCAGTTCTCTGCTGGTACAATGGGGCAGTGACCAGGAAATGGAATTGCTGTGGATATGTATAATTCTGATAGTTGTTTATTTTTTTAAGAATTCATTCCTTTTTATTGTTGAATAAAATACGTATAGGGCATAGCATTTGTCAATGTAACATTGTCCGTGTGGACAATTAATGATACCAGTTACATTAATCATAATACACAGCCATCATCAATATCCACTGCCAAATTTTCCATCACCTTAAACTGAAATGCAACGCTTCCTCAACAATAACTTCCTTTTCCCCCTTCCTTCTAGCCCCTAGTAAAATTTGGTTTCTATACATTTGCCTATTATAGATACTTTCTATGAATGAGATCATAAAATATTATTTCTTTCCTTTTTGTGACTGACTGACTTCATCAATAATTAATTCTTTCTTGTTGCTGATAGGGAAATACCATATTTTATGTATCCACTCATTATTGAATTAATATTTGGATTGTTTCCAGTGTTTATATATTATAAAAACAGCTGCTTTGGACACTCATGAACAAATCTATGTATGGAATGTGCTGTTATTAATTTGGGGTAAATACCAGCTGCTCGGAAACCCTATATAGGATCACTATGGGTCGGAAACGACTCGACAGTACTTCACAACAACAACCTAGGAACTACTGGATCATATAGTAGCTGTATGTTGTTCCCAAACTACCTCCTTAGAAGTGCCACCAGTTCCTGCCTTCTCAGCCATGTATGGAATCCTGGTATAATGCTGTAGGATAAGCACTGGACTGCCAGCCAGAAGGTCGGCAGTGCAAACCTCCCAGCCACGTCTTGGGAATGCTATACTGACTCAATGGTACTTTGCAACAACAAAAACAGCCATATGTGGTTGTACCTATGAAAACAGCTTTTCAGACTTTCTGGCTATCGCCAGATTGATGGTATATCAATGCCGTTTTAGCTTGTATTTCCATTATGAGTTAAGAGTCAGCATTTTTCACATGTCTGAAGCATTTGTATTTCCTTTTCTGTGAACTGCCTCTGGATCTTTGATCCTTTTTGCCATGGGATCTGTTTCATGTTCATTAATTTGCATGCTGTCTTTATAAATTTGGGCAATTAGCCTTTTGTCTGATGCACTGCAGATGATTCTTCCTAGTTTGTGAATTGTTTTATTTATTTATCTTTGAACTCTTTATTGTGAATGGGGTGAAGGTTGACAGAGCAGATCAGTTTTCCATTCAACTAATTATACACATTTTGTTTCATGTCATTGATTGCGATCCCTACAATGTAAACTTCACTTATTCCACTTTCTCCCTGTGTTTCTTGTTTCCATTCCTCCATCTTTCCTACCCCTTCTGGACTTTGTCCTGGGGTAAATGGTGCCCTTTTGATCTCAAATGGTTGATTATTCAAAGGTATGTGTTCCTCACTAGTGTCATGGTTCTCCTTATAGACCTGTCCATTGTTTGACTCGACTATTTGTCTGTCTGTTTGTTGTACTGGGGTCACTTGCCTGTTGCTGTGATTCTGGAAGCTATGCCACCAGTATTTTAAATACCAGCAGTATTTTAAATACCATGGTGGACAGGTTTCAGTTGGGCTTCCAAACTAAGACACACTAAGAAGAAGCAGAGACAGACTATTTCTGAATGTTTAGCCACTGAAAATCTTCTGAATAACAGTGGGACATAGTCAGATACAGTGCCAGCAGATAAAAACATTATGAATAACATCAGAATGGAGTCCTGGTGTGGTGCTGTGGGTTAATGCACCAGACTGCAAAGCCGTTTGAACTGCAAGGTCGGTGGTTCAAGCTCACCAGTCACTCCTTGGAAACACTATACAGGGTCACTATGGGTCAGAGCTGACTTGATGGCACTTAACAACAACAACAAGAGTCAGGTATAGTGCCAGAAGATGAGACCTTCAGGTTAGAAGGCACTCTACAATATGACTAAGGAAGAACTTCCTCCTCAAAACAGAGTTGACCGTGAATGAAGTAAAGCTTTTGGGATCTTCATTTGCTGATGGGGTATAGCTCGAAATGAGGAGAAATAGCTGCAAACATCCATTAATAATCAGAATGTGGAATAAAGTGTGTATCCAGGTAAATTGGGAGTTGTAAAAATGAAATGGAGGAACCATGGCAATGAAATGATATACGATGGAATGAATGTAAAACTAAAGTTCTCTCATGTAAACTATCATATAATTCACAAAAAAAAACATTAAAAAAAAAAAAAATCTCCTTGGAAACTACTGTTTGACAGGATGAGATCGAGAACACATTTGCCTAAGATTAGATATGAGAACATAGTTTTCCTCTGACTTTTATTTCAAGTATTTCTAATAGAAAATCAGAAAATTAACCAGTAATGTTCTAGCTGCTATGCAATAACTAAAGATACTTTTAAAGCATGTACATAGGGCTGTGGTTTTGTACATTAACATTAGCATATAGCTTTCTAATTAGTTTTCCATCCATAAATGCTAATAGGCTCCAAGAAGTAGATTTGTTTAATTTCTTCTAGGTTTTTGTTTATATTCTTTAGTTAGCTACATTAATAGGGTATCTATCCTATT